AGGCTGGCCTCAAATTCAAGATCCTCCCACCTTAGTGTTCCAAGTGCTGGGATTAGAGCTATGAATTACCACACTCACTCCTTGATTTTTCTCACTTTGCTCACACAGGGGATACTCCCTCAGGAACAGGCATTCTGAAATTGTTCCTTTTGTTTGGTACCCCAGAGATTTTTATAACCCAAAGTTATGTGCCACAGTTAAAACTTGGAGTGGGTGACAGGTTGGCCTTCCATTCAGGGAAGGTGAAAAGGAGAACCAAGACAGTGCTACCATAGGAATGTTATCAAACAATGTATGTTAGGAAAGAATATAAATGGAAAATTGAAAAATCTAGTTACCTCAACATCTTCCTGACTACCAGTAGACTGTGTATACCAGTTTAAAGACATATGGGTTAGGCATATCTTATATATTATACTGATAACTTATAGTAGTGGCATCTACCAGACTAATTACAAGCTATTTGCCTCCTTTTTCTGCCACCCTCCAATCCATAGAAAGTTTGAACTTTTGTAAGAAATATACACAAGTATTTTTTATATGTTCCAAAAGTGATATTTAGTAGAAAGACTTATCTTTCAATACTGACAAAGGATTACTATCCAGAACATAAACAGCTGCTAACCCTTAAGAGGTAGTCAGTACAGTTTAGTCACTGTAACAAAAAAGCTCAAAAAAACCTGAAGAAAAATGAGCCCAATAAACATATGCAAGATGCTTACTCTTCCTAACAATCAGGGAAATGCAAATTAGTCCAAAATGAGGTATTTTACACATAACGGTTTGGCAAAAATTAAGAATAGCCAGGTGCTGATGATGAAGTAGAACACAAGAAGTCTTATTAATACCACTTTGACAAAATTTTTGAATATTGAACATGTCTTATTCTGCAACCTAGTAATCTTATTCTTAAACACATATCATAGAAAAATTCTTGCACAAAAATCTATAGCATTTTAATAGCATAATAACAAATGAACAAATAAACCTGGAATGTCTCAAATGACCATCAAAAACTGGGTACACTGTGGCAGATACATTCAATGAGATAGGGTCTCACAATATAGCCTGGCCACTAATCTAAGAGACAGTGCAAATGAATGTGAGGCAATCAGTGGCAAAAGATATTTTTAATACAATAGGGAAACATGAACTTAAACTGAGTATTAGCCAATATTACAGAATTGCTGCTGAGTGGTGGTAGAATACGTACGGTAAGGGAGGCAAATGCCTTTATTTCATAGCAATGAAAACTTAAGTACTAGGGAGTTAAGTATCATGATTTCTACAAACTACTTTGTAATTCCTAAGAAAGAAACTAAATATGGCAAAATATTAACATTTGTTAAGGCTAGATGATAAGCATAGGGACCTTTACAATTCTAATTCATTTTTCTGTATGTCTGAGAGATTTCCCAACTGAAAAAGGCAGACAAAATATGATCTGAAGCTAATGAGTTAAAATATTCTTTCCTTTACAGTTAAGTTTCATGAAAGGAGAATGGAATGCTATGTTGAGGAAGGTTTTGTTCTGTTACTTGTAAGTCACAACTCAAAATTACCTCCTTAGATTAAGGAAAATAAAATGAGAGTTGAAGATGAAAGGATTCATTAATGGGAACCAATAAAGAAATGGGCATGTGAACTAAACAGAACTTTCTCAAAAGAAGAAATTCAAATGGCCAAAATACACATGAAAAAATGCTCACCATCTGTAGCAATAAAGGAAATGCAAATTAAAACCACACTAAGATTCCACCTCACCCCTGTTAGAATAGCCATCATCAGCAACACCACCAACAGGTGTTGGCGAGGATGCGGGGAAAAAGGAACCCTCTTACACTGTTGGTGGGAATGTAGACTAGTACAACCACTCTGGAAAAAAATTTGGAGGTTACTTAAAAAGCTGGACATCGATCTACCATTTGATCCAGCAATACCACTCTTGGGGATATACCCAAAAGACTGTTACTCCAGAGGCACCTGCACATCCATGTTTATTGCGGCACTATTCACAATAGCCAAGTTATGGAAACAGCCAAGATGCCCCAGCACTGACAAATGGATTAAGAAAATGTGGTATCTATACACAATGGAATTTTATGCAGCCATGAAGAAGAACGAAATGTTATCATTCGCTGGTAAATGGATGGAATTGGAGAACATCATTCTGAGTGAGGTTAGCCTGGCTCAAAAAACCAAAAATCGTATGTTCTCCCTCATATGTGGACATTAGATCAAGGGCAAACACAACAAGGGGATTGGACTATGAGCACATGATAAAAGCGAGAGCACACAAGGGAGGGGTGAGGATAGGTAAGACACCTAAAAAACTAGCTAGCATTTGTTGCCCTTAACGCAGAGAAACTAAAGCAGATACCTTAAAGCAACTGAGGCCAATAGGAAAAGGGGAACAGGTACTAGAGAAAAGGTTAGATCAAAAAGAATTAACCTAGAAGGTAACACCCACGCACAGGAAATCAATGTGAGTCAATGCCCTGTATAGCTATCCTTATCTCAACCAGCAAAAACCCTTGGTCCTTCCTATTATTGCTTATACTCTCTCTACAACAAAATTAGAGATAAGGGCAAAATAGTTTCTGCTGGGTATTGGGGGGGGAGCGGGAGGGGGTGGAGTGGGTGGTAAGGGAGGGGGTGGGGGCAGGGGGGAGAAATGAACCAAGCCTTGTATGCACATATGAATAATAAAAGAAAAATGAAACAAACAAACAAACAAACAAATAAAATAAATAAATAAATTTTAAAAAGAAAAAAAAAAAAAAAAAAAAAAGAAAGGATTCATTAATGGAACAAGGACCTGAAAGAGATAAGAATGAATGACATCTGCATTCTAAGTTAGCATTGTAAAGGAAGAAAATCCTTTACTCTGAAAAAGAAAGAAAATAAATATGACTAAATTTATGATGTAGATGAGAGGAAGTTTGAAAATGATGACTGATGAATTAACAATAAAGTAATTTGCTGAGAGGTATGGCCAAAAGGGGACAGGAGCTTGTGAAGAATGGTATAGTTTGAAATAAGTACTGTGGGGAATGGGAGAATTAATCAAAACTAATATAAATATGCAAGGAAGAGCACTGTAAATATAGCTTACTGTCAACAGTCTCATGAACTATGTAGTAACTCTTGGCTTATATGAGTACAAGATACAAAATAGCAGAGGAGGTATACTTATTGAGATCAGAGGTTACTGGACATCAAATAGAGATCTTAATAAAGCAAACCAGGGATAGCATGAGAAATGAAGTGAAAGAACTAGTTGGTTAGAAGGATAACTGAAATTTTAGACATATATTGTACAGGTGAAGAGATCTAACAAAGAGAATCAGCTGCCAGGAAGGAACCTTATTTGCAAGGTTTCTTTGCCCCTCCCCCCACTTTTTTTTTTTTTTTTGAGATAGGGCAGCCTGAGATTCCTGGGTTCAAGTGATCCTCTTCTTGTCTTAGACTCCCAAGTAACTGGGACTACAGATGTGTGCCACTACATCCAGCTGGAACCTTCCTCTCTATCAGACTTTTAAAGTAAAATAATCCTTTTCTGTAGTGTGATTTAAATGTGTTTTCTCCAAGGGGTAAAAATTAAAATGAATTCTTAAGTTTTTATCTGTTACAAAACTCAGCAGACTTTTGGCCTATGTCTCAATATAATGGTAGTTATTAGAAATGTCACAGATAATTTAAAATAAGAGTAGATGTTTGCCAGGTATGGCAGCACACACCTGTAATCCCAGCACTGGGGAAGCAAAGGCAGATGCTCTAGAATTTGATGCCACCCTAAGCTACACTGTGAGTTCCAGGCCAGCCTGGCCTATATATCAAAAAACTTTGTCTCAAAACAAAACAAGTTTAAACTCATGATTGACTTTGGTCAATTAAGAGCCAATTTTAATAACATAATTTTGATTCATAGCCTAATACACTTTCTATAGCAGCAACATCCATGGGAGTATGTTGTACATGCTAATGTAATTTCATGTTGCAGCAGATATCAATGACTGCTACAACACAGCACTGCTTTCACTTTAAAGAATTTTATATCACTGAAAGTACAGTGTTATGAATATTAACTATGATCTCAGTCTAAGAATTATTTAAGCACTAGAAGCTAACAGAGCAATGGCTATCATTTTAAATTAACATACTTTAACCTTATTTTAAAACAAAAGACTGGATCCAAGGCTGCTTATCTTGAACTTTTGTGAAATATACATCAAAAAAGCTTTATTAGAAAGTCACACAATAAGGGCTGGGAATGAAGCTCAGTGGTAGAGCACTTGCCTAGTACACACAAGGCCCTGGGTTTGATCTCCAGTACTGGGGGAAAAAAAGTAATGCAATAAATAAAATTTTAAATTCTCAATATATCATGTCTTTCTTGCTGGTTATGCTAATCGTGAACTTAAATGACACTTTGGGATCAAACTGAGAGGATTAAAAATGTCAATGACTAAGACCAAACTATTAAATTTGTTTTTAAAATAATAACACAACTGGGTGCCAGTGGCTCATACCTATAATCCTAGCTACTTGGGAGGTACAGATCAGGAGGATCGCAGTTCCATATCAGCCATGCAAAAAGTGAGACCCTATCTCAAAAATACCCAACCAAAACAGGGATGGTGGAGTAGCTGAAGCTATAGAGCACACCTGCCTAGCAAGTGTGAGGTCCTGAGTTCAAACCCTAGTACTGCCAAAAAGATAAAATAAAAACATTTGGCTAGGGGTGTAGCTCAGTGATAAAGCATGCACACACTCCTGGGTCCTAACTCCAGTCAATATGAAAAGAAAAAGTGGAATTTTTAAAGGCATGTGCAGCAGTCATATACACCACTATTAAAAATAGTATGATGTGTACCACTGACTTTGTTATACTGAAACTAATTCCACCAAACAAAACAAAGCTGTTCTGTAACCTAAGGAGAAAAACATACTCATCACTAGAATGTTCTGCCACTTCCACTGCATTTCCTGGGGGTTGCTATGTTTCCACAAACCCCATAACGAAAAAGGAAACTATAAATATACTTACTTTTTCATTTTTTTTGAGTTGTATTTGACTTGGTAAGCTGCTTGGATTAATTTGTCTGGACCACCATCAAACTGATGTGGAATGACCCTCTGAAAGTGCTAAGATACAATAAAAGGAAAAGAGAATCATTTAGTGCCATTTATTAACTAGTTAATAGTAAATCTAAAGACATATAAGAAATCATGAATTGACTTACCTGTAACATCCCTTCCATGTCAAGTTGCATTAATTCTGCCTGGTTCGTTTGAAGAAGTGCTAATCCTACTCGAAACACTATTTCTAAACCCTGATGAAACAAGTAAAACCGAATTTATTTTACTCTTCCATCGACAAAAAACTAATCATTCACAATAACGTATTATTATTATTATTAGTAGTAGTAGTAGTAGTAGCAGCATTATTGTAAGGTGAACATTTACGGATCTAAACAAGTAATTTTTGTAAAGAGCCACACAACAAATATTTTAGGTTTGATGAGCCATATGGTCTCTTCATAACTATTCAGGTCTGCCATTATAATTGTAAAGCAGACATATAAACAACAGGTGAACAAATGGGCAGGACTGTGTTCCAAGAAAACTTTATTTATAAAAACAGGACAGATTTACGTGAACTGTAGTTTGCCAACTTCAATCCAAACTAATTTAGATAGATAATACAAACTGATCTTCCCAAGAATAGTTAATAACAGTTAACACTGGGTTTCAGGAATAGACAAAGGATCACTGGCACATGTCACTGACAAAAGTACAGCATGGCAATGTGTTCACAGAGTAGAAGAAATTCAAGTACACAAACTACACTTCTTACTATTTGGGGAACAGATGCACAGCAACAGTGTTAACCATGAGGCAGATTTTACCTCTTACTCTCACTGTATGGGTCAGGAGGTAATAAAGAGGTTTGATTAAGAGGATAAGTTCCAAAATTTAACTGCCTCCATTTGAATGTTGTCTGTTGTCTCACATGTGTATGCTCACTCAATCTATCAGTTTCCTCATCTATCAACTAACAACTATGTATAGTAATACTGTCTATCTAATAAGGTGTTATAAGGTTTAAGTGAGATTATTCATGCAGGTAATTTAGGAGGGCACAAATGGTCTCCCTTACCGCCCTACTCATTAACCCAATGACCCCTTTGCTCTGCTCTTGTTTCTATTGATGCATTACCTCAGACATAAAGATATCAAATATCCTTGTGGCAATTGGTAGTGGAAAAGTTGTAAGAAAGATAGTCAGAAACCAGGACGACGCGTACATTGAGGTATGAAAGCTCTGGGACTGAAAATGTACAAAGAGCTCTGGAAGATGCTCCTGAAGAGAAGAAAAGAAGTAGTTAGTGGACTTTTTTTTTTAAGACAGGGGTTTGAACTCAGGGATTCACACTTGCTAAGCAGGTGCTCTACTGCTTAAGCATGCCTCCAGCCCAAGAATTAGTTAAAACATAGTAAAATCAAGTTTTAAATCAGCTCATACATACATTAGATTAGCCTATATCAAACACACACACACACACAGACCAAGAAATGATACAGGAAAGTACAGATGTAGGAATGCAAACATTCAGGATAGTGGTTACTATCTGGGAAGGGAAGACGAGGAAAAGATGAGTTGGAACTTTAGGAATATCCACAGATTTTGATTTATTAATAAGAAAAATAACTTATAGCCAGATTGTATTTAAATCAAGCACCCATCCACCATACACACTGTGTTGAGTGGGAATGTGACACATGTTTATAATCATTTAATCTTATTGGTGGGTACATGGTTCTCTGATATTTTCTACATTTTTCTGTTAATGATAACATTTCAAAAAGTTAAGGAACTGCTTTGCTAAAATACTTTCAGGCACTATCTACCACTGAATGTCTATCCTTACCTTCCTATGGAACAGGAACTCCAGTAATTCAAAACATAAATGACACACTAACTGAAAACATAACACCAAGAGATGAAAAAAAACCAAGCTATTTCTGAAAAAAAAATTTAAACCATTTCAAGAACTATTTTGAATTTTTCTAAAGCATAAAAGCATTTTACATATATCCCATTCCTCACCCACACCCAGAAATGATACAGAATTTCATAATTCCAAGGAACTCTCAAGATGGCTCTCATGCCAGGTGAATAATTAACTTATATTCTAAAATTCTGCTCATTTAATTGAAATTAAAGTAAGAATATTTACACCTTTATATCATAGAGATAGAAACTTATTTATACATGTTTACATATATGTATATATATAAATTAAACCGAGAAAGGTAAAATATTTTCAAAGGTATTTTTCACTTGATTTCTTTACTCTACTCCTTTTCTCTTCATCCTTATGCAATCACAAGACAATGTGAATCTTAAACTAGCAACAGAAATGACTGAAACATTATGGGGAAAAACAGATACAGGCTAGCCAAAAATCTGAGATAAAAAGGGAAATTAGAAGAAAGGACAGAGAGACAGTATAAACAGTCTCAGAGTAAACGGCTGACTGATGACAGTATTATAAAGTCGTAAGGCTTTACAGCTCAGACTACTTAAAAGTAACAGGCTACAACAAGATATAAGGAAACCCATGCATGTAGATAAGTTCATGGTACATTTGGTACAAATGCTTAAAGTTTGAATAAGAAAACTATAGTCAAGTTTCAGACTGTGATTACTTGTAGATAACACGTCATTTGGGAGCAGGTCTAATTGAATTTAAATGACCAACAAATGATCATGTGATGAAAAAATGAATTTTTTCAACTGCTTTAACACTTTTGACATTAAACTTAATCACTGAGCTCAAGACGATGGAAAATATAAAACTGCTCTTTTACCTGTATCATGCATTCAAACTGGTACATACAAAGGCCCAGTTCTGCCATACTTGGTTTAAAAAGTTCACGAAGCCTATAATCTTGCATTAATTTAACAAATACACAGAAAGCCTCTTCTTCTGGCATCTGCATTAAGAGAAAAAAAAAAACACCAAGGAACCATAGTAGCTTTACATAGTTCGCAGGCTTGTATAGTTCTGTGATATACAAATAAACCAAATTACATTTAAGCCAGGTATCATTCAACCATAAACACTGTTTTGAGTGGCCACATGGTACAATGTCAAGAGCCAGGAGTGTTAGTACACATCTATTATCCCAGCAGGAGGATCAGGAGTTTGTTGCAAGCCTGGGCTACACAGTGAGACTGTGTCTCAAAAAACCAAAGGGGCAATGTGACTAAAAATCAGGAAGCTCTAGGCTACCATTCTGAGAATGAGAAGTTAGACAAGTCTTACAACCTCTGAGACGAACCACTTCAACTTGCTTCATTCATTCATTCAACCAATAAATATTCATTTACAGCCAGATTTTTTTTTCTGGATATAAATAGGTAAACTAAACAACAACAATAATGAAAACTATAATCTTTACTCTCAAGGAGCTTGAACTTTCTAGGGGGAAGGAAACAGACAATACATGGAATAAATCAACGAATATATATGTCAAGTGGTGAATGCCATGGAAATAATAAAGTAGGACAAAGGGAATGTTGGGGAGACACTGTTATTTACACATGTTAGGGAAAGTCTCTTGATAGGTAAACTTTGAGCAAAATCCTAAATAGAAAGAGGAAAGAACAGTCCTAGAAGACAGAAAAGAACAATGGCAATCTTGAGTGCAATTGTGCTGGCAGGCTCAGAAACAGCCATCCCTCTTGAAGAAAGTAAAGCAGTATTTAGCAGATGCCAAGTGACAGAATGAAAAAAATGAAATCATATTAAATTTATTTTGCTTAACAACAACAAAAAGTAGTAATAGACAGGGACCAGTGGCTTATGCCTATAATCCTAGATACTTGGGAGGCAGGTATCAGGAGGATTGCATTTGAAGCAAATCCTAAACTAATAGTTCACAAGACCCTATCTCAAAAAAATCCCATCACAAAAAAGGGCTGGTGGAGTGCCTGTCTAGTAAACCCCAGTAACCCCCACCCCTCCCAAAAAAAAAAAAGAAGTAGTGAAGGCTAGGTTATGGAGAAGACATAACAGTGGAAGCGAATACATGGGCTTTATTTTTATTTTCTCCTGGTACTGGGGATTGAACTCATGGCCTCACACTAGCTAAGCATCAGCAAGCACTCATCTCACCACTAGAGCCACATCTGCAGTTCTTCTGCTGTTTTAGCTTGTTTTCAAATGGGGCCTCCTGCTAACTTCGGCCCAGGCCAGCCTTGGACTTCAAGCCTCCTACCTCTGCCTCCTGAGTAGCTGGGACCACAGGCCTGTGCCACCACAGCTGCTCCAAATGCACAGGCTTTAGAGCCACTGCAGTTTTTAACTTTTACCTTAAGTGAGATGGACAGACTTGCGGATTCTAAGCAGAAGTGTTATGATATGACGTAAGTGCTAAAACGCTTAAGTTTTGAAATTATTTGCAATTGGGGTTTAAAGGTACAATTATATATTTTACGTTTACATCACTAGGAAATTATATCAAATACCATAATGAATGTGAAAGCTCTATACAGAGCTACAAAGACATTCAAAATATTTAGGCAAATAACACCTAAATTGTTAAGCCATCTTTCTCTAACTATATGTCAATTTCCACTCACTTACATTACACCATAATGTGTTTTGAAAGAGAACACCCCCCAAAGGATCCCTAGGCATTCTTCCTTCTGAAGACTGCTACAGATAACTACATTTGTCCTGTCCATGACAGCCATAGAGAAGAGCCAAGAGTTCCTCTTGCTAAAACTCACATTTCCTTCCTTCCTCACAGCAGCCAGAATTCTGCCATCTCTGTTTATCCTACTAAGCCTTACAACCTCATTGATTTATGTTAATAACTCCAAGAACCCCAAGATCATAGGAGTCTGAATCTTCACTGGTTTTATGACTCTCCTAATCCAACACCATCTCCAAACTTCTAGTGATATCCTCAATCTCTTTCAAACATTTTTCTCTTCCTTTAGGTGAAATCTGGCTCTGTTATAAGATAAAGTGGTTATTTTCTCTTCCATAGTACTGAAGGGTCCAGGAGTTAGCAAGGTGTGTGTCCCTCTTTGAACTTCACAGCCACTTCCACAGAATGAAGGTGGAAGAAGAGGAGGAGGAGTTGAAATCTTATTTGATAGAAGATACTATTGTTATATGTCATTTTAATACTCTTCCTCTTTCAAAGTGCAAACTAAAATATTACTATTCAAACTATTCCTAGGGAAAAATACCCAATATCCACTATACTTAACTAAAAACAAAGATGATTTTTAAATTTTCTAACCCAACCTTAATAAAGAATTTAGATACTTGTATTAACTTACCTGCATAAGCAATAATCCAACTATAAAAGCACTTCCTTGACAGTAACCAACCTCACGATCCACTAAAGAATATGCCTAAAAAGTAAAAAATGGTGTTCAAAATATTTTGACATGGTATATTATACCTTCCTTCTCAAAACCTAAAGATGGTGAGGCAGGTACTTTAAAAGTCCATTTATTTTTCAGAAAAGCTCTTGCTTACTTATTGTATTGTACTTATTTGCTTACTTGTTATCATATAAATATTTAAAAAACAAGTGAAGTGTTTCCTTATATAAAATTTCTTTTGACAATTTCTCAATTAAAAAGTGGCAGCTCATAAGAATAAAGAAAGGAATTTATACTTAGGAAAGCTGACAGAGCTTTAAAATAAAGTAAAATTTGTATGTGATACAGATAAAACAAGAATAAAGGTAGGTAAAGCATTGGCAAGACTGAAATTACTTAATAAGAAATCAGTATTTCACAGTGGTAGCCAAAGGAAAACTATGGGAAGAGAAAGGGCAACACTGAAGAAAAAATTATAGTGGCAAGGGTACAGCCACAGGCAAATTCTACTGGCTGTCTAAATGCAGCCATGACAGAGAAAACTATATCCCATGCTATGAACCAAATATAAAGTGAATTACAAATTTTCGTAGAAGATGTCTCTATGGTCTGTGATAATAGGCTATATTATTTCAGTCAACAAATGCTGAGTAATATGATGAGTTTTCTAATCAATTCTCCAAACTACACAGTAATGTAGCATCAGAATTAAAGCATAAACTATGCTAAAATCAGTGTCATTACCAAAGCAATTGATTATTATGATAGGAGTTTATGCTTCATCTTGGGAAATGTGTAACACCAATCTTTTGAGAATTCATTTCATTTAGAAAAAAATGAATAAACAGAACTTACCTTCATTACATTAAATAAAACCTCCTGTCCAAGGCTATCCTTTTCCTTAAAAAAATTGTGTTCAGGATAAGTTCTAGCAATGTCCCTTCGGATCAATTTCTCACAAGGTGAGGTCATTTTCAGAAGTTCTGAATACTGATCCTTAATTGGCATACTTTGTGCACTGCATAAAAGTTGCCAAACTATTGCTCTAAAGTGGTGGGGTATCCCTTTACGAACAAGTTCCTAAAACATAAAAATAAGATAAAAATCTTTAAATGAATTATTTAACTCTTAGACCTTGTATGTCAAAGACTTATGCGGGGAGTTATAGTGGAGTAGAAAACTTTATCAAGTTTGTAATTTGCAAAGTTAGGAGGGCAGGGGGTGGGGGGAGAAATGGCCCAAACAATGTATACACATATGAATAAAGAAAAAAAACAGGTATCTCAAGCAATTAAACTAGAAGCTTTGAACCTGTATTACAGAATTTCCTGAATTTATGTATAATTTATGTGTAAAAATTAAAGACATCATTTATAAATAAAAAAAAAGTTATGAATTTTTTGGACTTTTGAGATAGGACCTCATTCACTATGTAGCTCAGTCTGGCCTCCAATTCCCTAGGTGCCCCAGGCTGGCCTTGAACTCATGACCCTCCTGCCTCAGCCTCCTGAGTGCTGGAACTGTAGGTCTGCACCACCACATCTGGTAAGGAATCATTTAAATCTAAGATTTGGTACACGAGTATAGCCCGTTCTGATCAGGGGACTACACAGCCATGGTAAATTCTGGTAGTGTCACTGAGAGTGTGACCTCTGAAGGTGTAAACATTTGACAGGGTACAGAGCTACGACTGACTGCACCGTGCCATCACATTTCAAGCACTGCTGAAGGCAAAAAAGTAAAATGTTATCTCAACTTTATTTCTAAATCTACGAGAAAACTAAGTTCCAAACTAATTTTTGACTATGTTTTCCTGTATCTGAGGGTCTCTAAACAAGTGATACATATAAATCAAAACTGCTATGAAGCACAAATAAATGAAACATAAAGCTAACCTTTTCATTATATAAGTTGGAAATTATTAGAATATGTTTTTGGTTTTCTTTCTTCTTCTTCTAATCCTCTATTAATCTATGGCTGACACTCTTTGGGATAAGACAAAGAATTTTAATAAAGAACATCAATACCTTAACTTGCTTTTCTTTCTTTTTGCGCACATCATCCCATTCGTTAACAATTCTTCCCCAAAGAATCCAAGAATCTTCTTCAAGGTGGCTGAGGTTGCTGGAGGCTGATGAACTTGATACAAGAGAGGAGCCACTGTTTCTTCTTGACCCATTTACAGATCTTAAAGACTTACTATCCGTCTCTAACAATCTAAAACATAATTAAAAATTGCTCAAGACACTATCACAGTGAAACTAGGTGAAGTAGTGATATTTAGAGCCTCACTACAATAATTTAGCCATTATTTCAAGAGGTAGTTTTAATAATATACATAATTTTAGTAATTTTTGCTTGGTATCCATAAAATAACTGCCACGTGTTTTTGCCTATACATAGCAGTCTCAAATTCTGAATTAACAAGTTATGTTAAAGATCCTAGTGCTATTAGCCCCATTATAATTTCCCTTTATCTCCATTAAATTCAGATTAGGGAGTCAGGCACGAGGGTGTATGCCTGTAGTCATAGCTCCTGGGGTGGTTGGGTTAGGAGAATCAGTTGAGCCCAAGAGTTTAGACCAGCCTGGACAACACAATGAGATCTCATTTCAAAAAAACAGAAAAAAGTTCAAATTAAGGAAATTTTGAAAAAAGTGGTTAGATGGGCTTTAAGAAAAAAGAACACATATCTAGAATACAACAAATTCTATGGAACTCATATTTACAATGTGATCATCGCTAAAAAATGTTTTTAAAAGGACAAGTCACAAAACCACCTCTATCATTTGTCTCACACATCCGTGACTAATCTGTCCAGACTATTCATAATTCTAGATTCTCCTGAAAGATAAAAGACAGGGGCAAAGCAGGCCCATAGTCCCACCTAGTAACAAGAGTGTACAGCCAACTAGGAGCTTCCTCCTTTAGACAGGAGGACTTAAACCCACTCAATCACCAAAATTCAGTCAATTAACTGCTACTATTTATCACTGGGCTTGCACTGTGAAACAGGGATATTTTTTTTTTCACTCTTAAGATCCCTGTTGACATCTGAGTTTGCAAGCCTGATTGATAACTTCTATGTGTTAAGGTAATTTCAAAGATCCATCCCATGATATCCCATTGAGCCCTTCATTTCCTTCACATTTGCACAGGCTATAAAGGTTGGAAAATGTGGCTTTGTCTATAAAGATGCAGGTTATAAATCATTCAAATAACAAGGGTCCTGAAAACATACTTGTTTATTTAACATGGTTACTACACTTCTAGTAACTCTTTCAAAAAAAAGTCATCTGCTTAGGATACTAATTTACGAATATTAAAACTGAGAAAAAAAATGAGTGAAATCCTATTTTACAGATTATAGAACCACTCTTTGACAGCCAGATTTACAGCATACACATTTATACCCCTTACAGCATTTATCCCCATTTAAGTATATTAACTGTTCATTGAACTGAAATAAAAATCATAGTCCCATATTTTAAAAAATATTCCAAGTTCAATATATGCCATACAGAATAACATAACATAAATTAACAAATTTTATCCTTATTTGAGAAAAAGTTAACATTTTCATAGTAACAATAATTTAAAGTTTCCCAAAAAACTGTGAAAAATGCTTAAAAATGAAATATTATTCCAAATAAAGACATAATATATAAAAAGATGTTGTAATTGCCTTATCTTACATCGTATGCAATTATTACACAAAATGGATGACAGGCCTAAATACGAAAGCTAAAACTAAGCATGTGCCCATGGCTTACGCCTGTAATCCTAGCTAGTCAAGAGGCAGAAAGTGTTTGGCAATTCCATGTGAAGTAAAAATTCACTTCCATATGACCCAGTGAACTAAATAAAAACACATATCCAAAAAAGACTTGTTGGAAGTTCATAACCTTTATTCATAATAGCTCCTACCAGAAACAGCCCAATGTCCAGAAACATAAATGAGCAAACAGTGGTATATTAATTCATCACAATACTGCTCAGTAATAAAAAGAAACCAGCAATACACATATCAACATGGATGAATATTTCAGACATTAGGTTGAATGAATGAAAGAAGCCAGAGGCAAAAAGAGTACATACTATAGGGATTCTATTCATAAAAAGTTCAAAAACATAATATAGAAGAAAATAGAGTAAATCCTCATGACTCTGAGTTAGGTAAAGCCATCTTAAATATGAATCCAAAAGCACAAGTGACAAAAGAAAAATAGATAAATTGTAATTCATCAAAATAAACATTTGTATACTTTACACCATCAAGAAGGTGGAAAGAAGGGATGGAGGAATGGCTCATGTGATAGAGTATCTGCCTATGAAGCATGAGGCCTTGAGTTCTAACCCTAGTACTGTCAAGAAAAAAAAAAAGGCAAAAAGACTGCACACAGGAGAAAAAAATATTTGCAGACCATAAGGGACTTGTATTTAGAATTTTAAAAATCCACTCAGTTATAAAATGGAAAAAAGAATTAAATAGTTCAAGAAAGATACACAAATGGCCAATAAACACATAAAAGATGCTCCATAGCACAAACCATCAGGGAAATGCAAATCAAAACCACAAGACACACCAGGATGGCAGAATCAAAAGGACAAATAATAGCAAGTGTTTGTGAAAATGTGGAGACAATGAAATTCTCACAGAACAGTGGTGAAAATACAAAATGGTGCAACCACTTCAAAAATCAGCCTGGTAGTCCCTGGTAATTCTGGCTAAACACAACATTACAATATGATCCTACAATTTCATTCCTATACATATCCAAGAGAAATGAAAATTTATGTCCAAAGGACCAAAAACCACATGAAAAAATGCTCACCATCTCTGGCCATAAAGGAAATGCAAATCAAAACCTCACTAAGATTCCACCTCACCCCTGTTAGAACAGCCATCATCAAAACCCCACTAACAACAGGTGTTGGCAAGGATGTGGGGAAAAAGGAACCCTCGTACACTGCTGGTGGGAATGCAAGCTAGTGCAACCACTCTGGAAAAAAATTTGGAGGCTACTTAAAACTCTAAACATAGACCTGCCATTTGATCCAGCAATCCCACTCCTGGGGATATACCCAAAGGAATGCAACACAGGTTACTCCAGAGGCACCTGCACACCCATGTTTATGGCAGTGCTATTCACAATAGCCAAGTTATGGAAACAACCAAAATGCCCCACTACTGACGAATGGATCAAGAAAATGTGGTACTTGTACATAATGGAATTTTACTTAGCCATGAAGAATAATGAAATCTTATCATTTGCAGGTAAATGGATGGAAATGGAGAACATCATTCTGAGTGAGGTCAGCCAGGCTCAGAAGACCAAAAATCATGTTTTCTCTCATATGTGGACTTTAGATCTAGGGCAAATGCAGCAATGTGGTTGGACTTGGATCACATGATAAGGGGAGAGCATATACAGGAGGTTATGGGGACAGGTAGAAAACCCAAAACATGAAAGTGTTTTATGTCCCCACTCCAGAGTAACTAATACAGAAACCTTAAAATGACAGAGGTTAACATGAGAAGGGGATCAGTTACCAGTGTAACAATCAGTTAGAGATGAATCAACATGGGTCATAACACATGGGTATACAAAAGCAATAGTAGGAATCTCTATGTTTAGCTATCCTTAACTCAACTAGCAAACATGCTTTGTCTTTCTTATGATGCTTGTGTCTTTTCTTCAACAAAATTAGTGATAAGGGCAGAACGGGACCTGCCTGGAACTGGGGGGGGGGGAAGGATGGGAGAGGGGGGCAGGGTGGAGAAATGACCCAAACATGTATGCACATGTGAATAAATGAATAAAATAAAGTCTTATACACAAATACTCATAGCGGCATTATTCATAGTGGCCAAAATTGGAGCAATCCAAATGTCCATCAATTGATGAATGGATAAAAAATAACATATGCCCACACAATGGAATACTATGCATCCATGAAAAAGGAATGGAGTTCTGATACATGCTACAACATGGATGAAACTTGAAAACATTATGCTAAGATAAAGGGGCCAGGCACAGCCATTTGGGATTTAGCTTAGTGGTAGGGCACTTGCTCAGCAAGCATAAGGCCCTGAGTTCAGGTCCAATGGATCAATTCTTGCTAAGAACTGGAGCAGGGAAGAGGAGAGAAGGAAAGGCAGTTACTATAAATGGCTATGCAGTCTCTTTTGGAGTGATGAAAATGTTCTAAAATTGACTGTGCTGACAGTCCCACAATTCTGTGAATACGGTAAAATCAAATTATACACCACACATGGGTAAAATATACCACATAAAGCTGCTATAAAAAAAGAACAGGTAGTATATGTGATAAAAATCAGAGCAGAAGTTTTAGGACATTGCACTGCTAGAAAGGACACAAAGGAATTTCTGGGATGGTGGGAATTTTCTAACACGATAGGATTTTTCTAAGTCTTAACATGCATGTGGGTTATACACAAGTACATATGTACATATATGTGTGTATTTGCCAAAACTCAAACTGTATACTTAAGAACTATGCATTTCTGACTGTAAATCACTCACCAAGTTTTATAAAGATACATAAAAATACTGCCTGTTAATGGTGCTGAAGACAAGAACTGAGAAACGTGTTCCTTTTTAAGGTAAACCCATTTTTAATAATTGTAACTGTTACTTTGTAAAGGATTATTTTTTATATATTTTGTAAAGGAAAGAAGATATAAACATTACTTCATATAATAAAATGAGTACACAAATTTCTTCATCATTCTAGCAAATTTTAGAATTCTCTAAAGGAAAATTTTAGAATTTTTATAATGAAAGTCTTCCTGAGAGTGTTGAAAAACTTTGCAGAAGCAATAGTTGATGTCACCAACTCTTCCTAGTGAGCTAGTCATGCTACTTAACAGTTTGTTCAAAGACAAACTGAATATACAATGTAATCCCATATAATTATAACGGAACTTAAAAATTATTCTCACTAGCAATGGCCACATAGTGACATCATAGCCACAATGTACTACTCATGTATTTGTGGTTATGCTGGTGTCAAAAAAACCTACCACACTGCCAGTTGTAAAAATGTATAACACATATAATTTTGTACAATAGGTAATAATGTTGCAGGTTTTTTGTATTTACCACACTATGACTTTTATTGTTATTTTAAGGCATACTCATTTTTTTTTTTTTTTTACTAAAAAGTTAGTAACTTTAAAATAGCCTCAGACA